TTGGGATTGACCAGCGAACTATCTTATCACTTCATTAGTGTATGAAAACCTGAAAATCCGCAACTGCACCTCATGCTTCGCGCGGGAAGTAGCTGAGAATTTTTTGGAGTGCCCTCGGGAGTTCTTTTCTGGGGTAAAAATAGTTGTAAAGAGCAAAGAGCATGCTGTTTAGCGTAGATATTATTATGCAGTTAAACAGTTAGACCGTAGAAATGTGCAGTTAAACAAGCTGTAGAACGAGGATATGTGCTTTTAAACAGGCAGTGGAAAGTGGATGTGTGCAGTTGAACATACTGCAGAACGTGTATATGTGCAGTTAAACAGGCTGTAGAGCGTGGATATGTGCAGTTAAACAGGCTGTAAAACGTGGATGTGTGCAGTTAAACAGGCGGTAGAACGTGGATGTGTGCAATTAAACAGGCAGTGAAAAGTAGATATGTGCAGTTAAACAGGCGGTAGAACGTGGATGTGTGCAGTTAAACAGGCTGTAGAGCGTGGATGTATGCAGTTAAACAGACAGTGGAAAATGGATATGTGCAATTAAACAGGCTGTAGAGCGTGTATATGTGCAGTTAAACAGGCTATATAATGTAGAGAAGCTATTAAACAAAAACGTTTGTGGGTGGTTGATGGGGTGGCTTTGGTGTGGTTTGCTCTTTTTTCCCTATCAAACATCTATTGTCCATATCACCCCTCCTTCTATTTTGTGTTTGCTACTCTCTATCTTGTAACACCCGTACTATTCGGCACTTATATGACCGTATTTTGTTTCAAGTGCCGTAAAACTCTTACTAAAACACAAAACAAACAACAACCACCATAACCAGTATTACCATCATCATCACCACCACCACCACCACCACCAACAACAACAACAACATCACAAACAAAGACGTCTGTGCATTTTTTCATCAGGTACCTGGACGCAAGTACCACCAGACAAAATACGTTAGGAACTTGAGAAAAAATGAGAAGGAGGCTCTCTACAAGTACGACTTTGACACGCCCAAATATCACGTGGTCCACAACAACGCCAAGAAGACAAAATATAACGCGATAAAAGCGTACAGGTCAGTGGACGGAACAGGTCAGGATCACAAGAATAATAATAACAATAATGATAAAAATAATAATAATAATAATAATAATAATAATAATAATAATAATAATAATAATACTAATGATAATGATAATAGTGATAATAATGATAAGAGTAAAAGTATTAGTAATAATAATAATGATATTGATAATAACATTGATAACAATAATAATAATAATAATGATAATAATAATTATGATACTGATGATAACAATAACAATAAAAATAACAATAGCAATAACAATAGCGAAAGCAATAGTACTATTAATTATAATAATTAATGATTTTAAAAAATATGATAAAATAATAATTTTAAAAATATTATAATAATAATAATAATAATAATAATAATTATTATTATTATTATTATGATAGTGAAGATGATGATGATGATGATGATAATGATAATGATAACGACGATGACGGCGATGTACGTATCACAATAGTAATATTAACAATATAAATAATAATAATAATAACAATAATAATAACTATTATTATTATTATTATTATTATTATTATTATTATTATTATTATTATTATTTTTATTATTTCTGTTTGATTTGTTACAGAATCGCCTTGCACGGCATGTCCAAGCACCTACTGCCGCAGAATAGCTATATAATAATGATAATAATAATAATGATAATATTAATAATGAACGATGATGTACGTATCTCAACAGTAACAAATATAATAATAATAATAATAATAATAATAATAATAATAATAATAATAATAATGATATTAATAATGATAATAATAATGATAATATCAATAATGACGAAGATGTATGTATCACAATAGTAAAAATAATAATAATAATATTAATGATAATACTACTAATAATACTACTACTACTACTAATAAAAATAATAATAATAATAATAATAACAATAATAATAATAATAATTATTATTATTATTATATTATTATTATTATTATAATGTGATAATAATTCTAATAATGTGATAATAATTAATTGTTGTTTCACGTGTTACAGAATCGCCATGCACGGAATGTCCAAGCAGATGCTGCCAGAGAATGAGGACAACGAGGGAACAGTTCCCTGGGCCAGGCATCAGCTAGTGGTCACTAAGCACAAGGATAACGAGCGTGTGTCCAGTTCGCCCTACGCCATGTGGGACAGCCAGAACCCTGTGACAGACTTCACAACCTTCTACGAGGACAACGATAACATTGTCGATGAGGTGCGTGTGTGTGTGTTGGGGGGGGGGGTGTGTGTGTGTGTGTGGGGGAGGGGGCAAATTTTTGTTATTGGGGGCTGGTTGGGTGTGAAGAGAATTTAGATTTTTAAAGGAAAGGTATATTCATGTGAATTTGAGGGGGGA